GTACATGCGTGCATGTGTGTGCTGGGGAGGCCGGAGAAGGGATGGGAGAAGGGGCAGGCAGGGCGCGCCGGTGTGCCGCGCCTCGGCCGATCTCTCTCTGAGAGCCCGCCTGCCTCCCCGCCGCCTGCCCGCCTCCCCTCCCGCCCCCTCCCGCAGAGCGTGATGGGTCAGCGGCGGCCCAACTGCGTGATCGTCGACGAGATCGACGGCGCCAGCGGTGCGCCAGCATGGCGCCGCCAGCCTGGCACCTTCCCCGGGGCCTGTGGGCCAGGGCATCCCCCTTAAGACCGCCGCTGCCTCCACACACCCGCTTGCTGCCCTGCCTCCACCAAAGATGCCGCGCCGCGCCCGTGCCGCTGCGCCTGTGATGTGCAGGCGGGGCGGAGGGGCGCAGCGGCATCGCAGCCCTGCTCAAGATAGTGGCCGCCACCGGGGCAAAGGGCAAGGCCGGCAAGCAGGGAAGCGGCGGCGGCGGCGGCAGGCCCCAGCAGCAGCCGCACTCCGCAGCCAGCGGCGGCGACTCTGACAGCGAGAGTGAGGGAGAGGAGGCGGGCGAGGAGGCGGGCCGCGGGGCCGCGGGGCAGCGCGGCGGCGGCGGCGGCGGCAGCGGCGGCGGCAGGCGGGGGGGCGGCGCGGCGCGGCCTGCACGGCTGCGCCCGCTCATGCGCCCCATCATCTGCATCTGCAACGATCTGTACGCCCCCGCGCTGCGCCCGCTGCGCGACGTGGCGCGCGTCTTCCACTTCAAGAAGCCGCAGGTGGGGCGGGGCTGGAGGCATCTGGCCCATCCGCCCACAGACCGCTGCAGCTGCGCCCAGCAGCCGCCCGCCAGCGCCGTGTCGGCCTCTGGGCCGCCGGCCTGGCCCCTATGGTCGCTGGAGCGCCGCTGCGCCGGCGCCGGGCGCCGGCGCCCTTCGTGCACCTTGGCTCCCTCCCTCCCACCACCACCACCACCACACTACCACACACACATGAACCCTCGCTTTCCCCACACACATCCTCTCACACCCCCACACGCCTCGGTCCCCCCCGCCTGCAGGCCGAGCGGCTGGCCCAGCGGCTGCGCTCCATCTGCGCGGCGGAGGGCCTGGCGTGCGAGAAGTCCACGCTGCGCCTGCTGGTGGAGCGCACCGAGTGCGACATACGCTCCTGCCTCAACACGCTGCAGGCGCGTGGCGGTGTGTGTGTGCGCATGTGGTGTGTGGCTGATGTTGTGGGGCTGGGTGGTGCACAGTGGGGCCCGCTTTCCTGTCGCACAGCCGGCGACCGACACCAGCATGCACACTAGCACCGGGGCGCCGGCACGCGTGCTCACGCCACCCCCACACCGCACGCACGCTCTCTCAGCACATTCACAGCCATGCCTGCCCCCCCATGCCTGCCCCTACCCCCACCCACCACCGCCCCACCCCTTGCAGTTCCTGGCCAAGAAGCAGTCGGTGGTGCGGCAGGCAGACCTGCAGGGGCTGCGGGTGGGGCACAAGGACATGACCAAGGGCGCCTTTGCGGTGTGGACCGAGCTGCTGCAGAAGAAGGTGAGGGCTGCCGGTAGGGCTGGGGCTGGGGGAGATGGTACCGAGCCATCGGCCTGACCTGCCTGCCGCCTCCGCTGGCCTGCCTGGCTGCCTCGGCACACACACGCACGCATGCACACACGCCGCATCATTGCCACCGCTGCCCCTGGCGAGCAGAAGAGCCCCGGCATCATCGGCAGGATGGCGGAGGGCGAGGCGCAGCGCGTGGCGCGGCTGTACGGCGCGCTGCAGGACTTTGGGGAGGGAGACCTGGTGGTGGGGTGAGGCTCTGGGGAGGTGGACGCGTGTGTGTGTGTGGTGGTGGTGGGAGGGGTGGGGTGGCACCAAGCCCATGCCGTGTGGGGGTTGGCTCTATCAGTGAGACCTTTCGACGTCCGACGGCAGCTAGGCTTGTGTGTGTGTGTATATGTATGCCGGATTAGAAAGCGAGTGCTGCCTGGAAGCCCGCCTGTACGCTGCCCGCCCCAGCGCTGCCTTGCATGGCCGCCATGCCCCGCTCAGGCTGCCCGCCTGCCTCCCTCCCCGTCCCCGTCCGCCCGCCTGCCCGCCTGGCTGTGTGTGCAGGGGCATGCACGAGAATGTGCTGGGGCTGCGCTACTTTGACATGGCCCTGCAGCGCACCTCGGGTGAGGGGGCCGCCTGCGGAGCCGCCTGAGGAGCGGTACTGCTGGTGGCGGTACTGCTGCTGCTGCTGCGGCCGCACCTCGGGCGGGATGCCTGCCTGTGGGGCACAGGGCACACTGTTTTCTCACACACACACGCATACACGCCGCCGCCTGCAGCCGTGCTCAACCAGCTGGGCGACGCCGACGCCTTCCTGCGCGCCTGCCACCGCCGCGGCGAGTTTGCTCTGCTCAAGTACGTGCCCGCCCCGCTGCTGCTGGTCAGCGGCGTGGTGGCGGGGCCGGACAGGTGCGCGCATGCCTGCCGCCGCGCCTGCTGCTGCGGCGGCTGCTCCGGCTGCACTGCTGTTGCTGCTGGAGGCATGGCCGTGCTCCCCGCGACCTCTTCAGCTTGCCACTCAGGGGGAGGCATCCAGCCTCCCTACCTCACCTGGGTCCTCCGTCTGAAGCCAGTGCCCGCTGCACTCCCCGCCACAGGCCGCAGCTGCAGTGGCCCCGCGCCGCGTTCGACTGCCAACGGCGCGCGGCCGCCAACGCCGCCACCCTGCAGAGCTGGATGCTGGGCATGTCGCCAGCCGCCTGCGCCGCCACCAGCCGCCGCAGGTGCCGCGCGCCGCTGCGCCTCTTCCCCGCTGCCGCCGCCTGCGTGTGGCTTGGCTTGCGGCCCGCCGGTTTGCGCTTAGAACAGGCTTTCTTGCCTGGCTGCTTGCGGAGCGTGCCATTAGCCTGCTACCGCTGGCCTTGCGGCGTGCTGCAGACAGGCTGTCACCCTCCCTCCAACACACACACACACACACACACACACACTCTCTCCTTCTCTCTACCACTCACACTCGCACGCATGCCCCTGCCCTGCCTGCACCCCTCTCCTGCCGCAGCATGGTGCTGGAGGTGCTCCCCGCCCTCATGCACATCGCAGCCCCCGCGCTGCGCCCCGTCTCCCTGCACCTCTACTCCCCTGCTGAGCAGGAGGTCATGAGGTGGGCAGGCAGTGTTGGTGCCCAGGAGTGTGGGAATGTGGAGGGGGGTAGCTGCGGCTGAAGGGGGCTGGCAGGCCTGGCGCCTGCTTGGCAGCTAGCCCCAAGTGGCAGCACGTCTCCCCGCGCCATGCGCCGGCCGGTGCTGCTTGAAACGACCGGCAAATGTGTTGTCGTGAAGGCGGTGGGAGGGCTGAACATGGCGCTGGCCAGCCTTTGCCGCCACCTGCCGCCTGCAGGCAGCTGGTAGACACCCTGCTGGGGTACAACCTGCGGTACTGCCTGGACCCAGCCGCCGAGGAGGCGGAGGAGGCGGCGGCCGCGGCGGCGGCCCAGCTGCAGCAGCCCGCGGGCGGCGGCGAGGCGGAGGGCGGGCAGCGGCAGGGCGTGCGCGGCGGCCGCGCGGAGCCGCCGCTGCGCTTCCGCCCAGCGGTGCACTGCGCTTGCCTCTTCCCTGTGAGCACACCGCGCCCCGCTGGCGCGAGCTGTTCTCTCGCCTGCGCATGCCGCGCCCGCTGCGCGCCTCCCCGGCCCTGCGCCAGCACTCCGAACCGCGTGTCTACCCTTGCGTAGCAGCCCCCGCCGCGCTGCCTGCCCCCTCGCCGCGCTGCCTGCCCCCTCTGGCCTGCTTCTCTCTCCTGACACTTGGCGGCGGCCTGCCTGCAGGGCATGCCACCCAAGGGCAAGCTGCTGCCGGCAGCGGTGCGGCAGACAATCAGCCACGAGGCAGACATGGAGGCGATTCGGCGGGCCGAGGCGTCGCGGCGCAGCGTCCACGGCGGCGGCGGCGGCGGCGGCGGCGGCAGCGAGGCGGCGCCGCCGCTGGCAGACGCCAACTGCGGCCCGCCGCGGGCGGCGGGAGTGGTGCCGCTGACCCTTGCCGAACGCATGAAGGCGGCGGGCACGGCGGCCAGCGTGGCGCGGCGCCAGGCGGCGGCGCCCCCCCGCGGCACCTGGCTGGACGCGCTCAAGGAGCGCCGGGGCGCGCGGGGCGGCGGTGGCGGCGGCGAAGAGGGCGGGGCCGCGGGCGGGCGCCACCACAAGTTCCCAGTGCTGTACAGGTGAGCGGGACGGGGCAGCCACGGGGCGGGTGGGTTCTTTGTTGTTAGTTGTTTTGCCAGAGGGATTTGGGGGGGGGTCCAGCATGGCGCCCTCCTGCGCCAGGGTCGCCCCGAGCTTTTCTCAGCACCCCACTTTCCTCCCGCCCATGTGCCAGGTTCCACGAGGGGTACACCAATGCAGTGAAGCGCCCGGTTCTGATGCGGGACCTGCTGGGCTGACACCGGTCCTGCCTGTGCCTGCCTGTGCCTGCCAACAGCTCAGCCTGCTGCTGGCTTACAGCGCCGCTAGGGCTGTGCGCGCTGCCTGGTACAAAGCAGGCTGCGTTGCGAGGCGGGGAGGGAGGGAAAGGGAAGGGCGCATGCGGGAGAAGGGTGTGGACGAGCATCATTTGTTAAAAACTGCAGAGGCAGCACAGCCACAGACAGGCGGCTGATGGCTGGCTGGGGGAGAAGGCGTGCCAGGGGGCAGCACACGGGAGAAAGGGTAGGCATCTGCCGCTGCTGGCGGCGCAGGCAGCGGCGGTCACTAGAGGGGAGTGGAAGCAGGGCGATAGGGTGCGGCCTGTGCTGAGCCGCGCATCTGCGAAACAGCCAGCTGGGAGGCTGGACCGCCAGCTGGGCCCCCAGCTGCGCTGTGCGAGCCGAGGAGCGCCCGGCTGCAGGCACGCAGCGCTGGCGCCAAGCAGGCAGGCCCCCCCGGCCAGAGCGCCGGCCCCCGGCGCGGCACCGAGGGGCGCGTTCCGCCGCGCTGCCGGCGCTGCGGGGCCGGGCGGTCAGAAGCGGTCCTGGCCGGTACCAAAGCTGCTGTCGCCCTCGGTGTACTCAAACTCCCCGCCCAGCCCCCGCCCCGCGGGGAACCCTGCAGGGCGCGGCAGGTGGGGGTGAGGGGAAGGGGAGGGGCTGCTGGTGCCGCAATATGCCCGTCGTCACACACCCGCCGCCAATGCAGCCACGTTTAAAGTGAGGTCACGCTCGTGCAGAGCACACGGGCGCAGAGGCTGCCTTGTGGCAGACGTGGCCCCCAGCGCAGCGCAGCAGCCCACACCCACCGGCGTCGAAGCCGCCGTTGCCGTAAGAGCGGCCGCCGCGGCCGCCGCCGCCGCGGCCGCCGCCGCCGCGGCCGCCGCCCCGGCCGCCGCCGCCGCCGCCCCCGAAGCTGTCGCTGCCAAAGGATCCCGAGCCGGCGCTGGGGCTGGTGCTGGGGTAGCCTCCGCTGGCGATGAAGGCTGAGGTGGCGGCGGGAGCGTCATAGAACCCCGCATCTGCTGTGGGGCGCGGGCGGCGGGCCAAGAAGCGCATGGGCGTTGAGTGCGATGCGCGGCAGGCGCAGCAGCTCTGCGGGCCCCCAGGCGCCGGCCAAGCCACGGGCGCAGCCAGCAGGTGCCTGCCGCATGCGCGGCGTCTCGGCTGCCCCCTCTCACCAGACGCATCATCCAGTGCCCACTCCGGCAGGCGCTGGCTGCCGCCCGACCGCCGGCCGCCGTAGCCTCTGCAGCAGCCGGAGGGCAGCCCGGGTGAGGCGCACCATACCCAGCACACCCCATGCCGCTGGCAGAGCCCCAGAGCAGTCACAGGTGCGGTGCGGGGTGCTGTGTGGTTTCACAGAGGCGGATGAAGCACTGGCAAGTGTAGGGTCGCTAGGGGGACAGGGGCAAGGCGCGCGGCGGCTGCGGCGGCGGCGGCGGCGCGTCCGCACGTGCCGCCTCCCGCGCCGCCCCGCCGGCGGCGCCCCCTCGGCGCGGCTGCCCCGCACGCTCACCCGCTGTTCTGGCGGTCTGAGCCCTGCTGGTAGCTGTCCGCAAAGCCTCCGCGGTCCTGGTAGTTTGTGAAGCCGCGGCCGCCGCCGCCGCCGCCGCGCCCGCCGCCGCCGCCCCGCCCGCCAAACCCGCCGTCATTGAACTCCCTGCAGGGGCGCCATGCGCACAGCAATATGTATAGTATGTGCTGCTGTATGCCAAATGACAGAGGTCTCCCCACCCAGGCAGCGCAGCGGCCTGGGCCGTCGGGCACGGCCAGGGGTGGGGAGGCCGGCCGTGGGCTGCGCAGCGCAGGGCAGCGCAGGGCAGCGCACGAGGGGCAGGGGGACACTCCGGGGAGCTGCGGCGTGCAGACCCAAAGGGCGCCGCGCACCTGCCGCCGAAGCTGCCGCCGGCGCCGGCGGCGCCGCCGTAGGGCTGGCCGCCGCCGTAGCGCTGGCCGTAGGCGCCGCCGCCGCCTCCGCCGGCCGCCTCCGCCTGGAGCTGCTGCTGCTGGCGGATCTGGGACACGCGGGGCGCGCCGCCGGACAGTGCAGTCTCCAGCGTCGCTTTCTGCGGGCGGGAAGGAAGTGGGGCGGTGTGGCGTGAGCGGCAGCGCGGGGCTGGCAGCCGGCAGCGGGCAGCCGCGGCAGCGGCGAGCGTGGTGGTGGTGCTTTCAAGGTGGAGGCAGAGGGGGGCAGCACGCTCGCGGCAGGTGGCACACAGGCACACACACCCAGACAGCTCAACCCATGGCAAGCCTTCAGCATGCCTCAGCCTGGGGCCTGCTTCGTCGGCAGCCCGGCCCGCATGTCCACGCCGCGCCCCTGCCCCACCCAGCCTCCAGCAAACACAGGGCACGGTATGCGGCCACTAGACTGCAGTCAGAGAGGGCAGGCTCACCGCAAACTTGTCCATCATCTCATCCAGCTTTCCCTGGCGTGCCGCCAGCTCAGCCGCCAGCTCAGCGCGCTTGCCCTCATCCCCCTCCAGCTCCAGCTGCTCCTGCAGGTCCTGCACCGCCCCCTCCGCCTCCCGCTTCTCCTCAAGCTGGGCGCCGCTCAGGCGCAGCTGCAGTGGGGGGAGGCCGGCGGGGCGGGGGCGAGGCGCGAGGGCAAGGGTGTAGCGCGCGACGGGCAGGGAGGCAGGCGGGCAGTCGGGCAGGCCGGTGGGCAGGCAGGCAGGCCGGCAGGCAGGCCCGCTGCATAGGCAGGCGTGCATGCAGGAGCTGTTGCGATGGCCGGGGCCGGCCGCCGGCCTTGCATCCAGTGGCGCTGGCACTGCACAGCAGCGGCGGGTTCGGCGGCGGCTGCCAGGCCCGCCAGCAGCCTCACGTGCAGCTTCTCCTTGGTGACCTCCTCCTTCAGCACCTCCTCCTCAGTCTTGCCAAGCTTCTCGGCAATCACAGCCTCACGCGGCTTGGCGGCGCCAAACGGGTTCTGCGGCAGGGTGGCGGGGTGGGGCGGGGGCGGGTGGTCCTCGCCGCGACTGCTGCAGTGGGCAGGCCCACTGTAGCCGGGCAGGCCATTCTGAGGCCCTGCGAGGGCCAGATCGGGTCCTCCCTGGGCTGCATCACGCTCCCCCCCAGGCCTGCAGAGTTGTCGAGGCCTCCCAGCGCGCTCTGAGGCTGCCTGCCAGGATCCACTGCATCTCCACCACGCCTACCAGCCCCGGCACCGGGCGGCGGGGGCCCCATCGGCGGCCGCACCTTGGCACTCAAGTGTGCCTGCCTCTCGGCCTCCAACTTGGCTGCTGCTTCTGGATCCCTGGGCTTCAGCTGCAGACGCCTCCTCCCGGGCGCGGGAGCGGGGGCATCGGTCTCAGACATTACGGCAAAGCGGGAGAGGGGCGTGGGGAGTGATTGCAAGGCGTGAGATCAAAGCTTGGGCATGCGCCTGCAAAGCCGATGGCTGTGAAAGGGTGCAAGGGGCGGGACAACGTGCCGTACACGCCCGCTGCATGTCTTGCACACCCAATTGGCAAGCGCCGCCTGCCGATCCATCTCATCCTGGTGCCCGCGGCCAGCTTGGCCACCTTGGGCGGCCAGATGGGGCAGCCATCTCGGCTCAAGAGCACCCTGCTGCTGCTGACGTGCGTGGCTGGCATCTACGTCAGCTATCTGACGCAGGGGGTGGTGCAAGAGACGCTCAGCACCAAGCAGTTTGGCGCAAACGGCGCGCGCTTTGGCTACTTGTCCTCGCTGAACGCCGTGCAATGCTGGGTCTGCTTCCTGTGGGCCGCCTTGCTGCTGGTATTGTTCGACAAGCGGTGAGCTGCAAGCCAGGCACCGCCACCGCCGCTGCCTCCGCTGCCTTGCCGCCAGCCTGGGCCATGCAGGCTGCGGGAAACTCGTTATGGGATGGCCTGAGCTAGCCATCCCTCGCCTGGCATGCAGGCAACCCGGTGTCGAGTACCCTCCCTTCACCGCATACTGGAAGCCCGCAATCACAAACTGCGTGGGCCCCGCCTGCGGCCTGCACGCCCTCAAATACATCAGCTATCCCGCCCAGGTGCTCCTGCATGCCCAACCTGGCATGGACCTGCTCCTGCCCAGTATAGAGACTGTGTCTTCCCTGCCGGCCTGTCGGGAGCACCACCTACAGTCCCACCACCACCTGCTCCTCACCCCCTCTCACTGCCGCCGACCCGCCCCGCTCCACCGAACCCTCCCTCAGGTGCTGGCCAAGTCGTCCAAGATGATCCCGGTGATGCTGATGGGCACAGTACTGCACGGCAAGCGGTACAGCATGCTGGAATACGCCTGCTGCTTGGCCATCTCAGGTGCGCACCCATCATTGCTGCTGCTGGCAGATGCAGGTGCTGCTGCTTCTCATCGCATGCGCATCAGCAGACATCAGCGTGTGGGGTCGCACGCACCAGGGAACACACATCCATGTGAACATGTGGATACAGGCTGGCTCCCTGCTGCCAGTGCGCTAATCCTCTCCTTGGCTGCCTGCCCGCCCGTCCGCCTGCCTGCAGCCGGCGTGGGCCTGTTTGGCATGAAGAGCAGCAGCAAGGTCACCCGCAAGCTGGCCAGCCCCAACGCGCCGCTGGGCTACACGCTGTGCCTGGTGAACCTGGTGCTGGATGGATACACCAACGCGGCGCAGGTGGGCAGCAGCAGCAACAGGGCGGCTTTGCAAGGCGCACGTTGCTGGGGCTGCCAGCCCAGGCAGGGCTGCGCCCGGGCCAGGCTGGCTGGCGGCTCGAGGTCGCCGCGTGTTCGCTGTGGCTGCTGCGTTGGTGGCCCTGTGGAGCCTTAGGGCACAGGCGGCGGCCCATGCTCGTGTGCCCGCAGCCTGCGCCACTGCCGCACTCGACGCAGTCACTTAGTCCGACAGCCCCGCAGTGTGCTCGTCACACGCTTGCCTGGCTGCAAGTTTCCGACTGCCACAGCAGCAGGGTGCTACTCATGGCCTGCTTTGCGCCACCTGTGCGCTTTGCGGGTATAAGCCGTACTCGACAGCCCCCCCTGCCTCCCCCCCTTGTTCGCTGCATGTGCACGGGCAAGCTGCTGGGCATGCCTTGGCGGCAGCCCAGGCCGGCCTCACTGCCGTCTGCCGTGTTGCGTGAGCATGCCTCTGTCCCCGTTGTTGCCTGGTCCGTTGCTGCCTGGCCAGCAGGACGAGATCCACAAGCGGCACAAGCATGGCAGCGCGCTGCAGATGATGTGCTGGATGAACTTCTGGTGAGCCTGCCCTGCCTGCCTTGCTGCTTGTAGCACCAGCCAGCCTGCTGCGCTGCAGCACGCCCAGTCCTTCACTGCTCGCCAATGCATGTGCTGCATGCGTGCAGGTGCGGCCTCTACTACCTGCCCATCATGTTTGTGTTCAGCAGCGTGGGCAGCGACCTGCTGGCCTTCTGCTTCCAGCACCCCGAGGCGAGTGCAGGCGCCCTCCTCGTGCCCACACCGCTGCTCTCGATGCGTGTGCGTGGGTGGGGGGCGCACGGGCAGCTGCACGGCGCGTGCACCACCCAGGCTTGGCACGCGCCCGCCCGCCCACCCGCCCCGCTCCTGCGTGGCTGCCCGCAGGCCGGCTACGATGTCCTGCTCTTCTGCCTGTGCGGCGCGGTGGGCCAGCTCTTCATCTTTGCCACCATCAAACGCTTTGGCTCCCTGCTCAACACCCTCGTCACCACCACCCGCAAGTTCTTCAACATCCTGCTCAGCGGTGCGCTGCGGAGCGGCACGCAACCCGCCTACCTCGTTGGCGGTGCTGCCTTGCTGCATGCAGCACGGAAGTGTCACTGCACAACGAAGCAGCACCTTCCCTCGCCCGCCCGACGGTTTCTGCCCTCCCATGCCCCGCTGCTCCATGCTCCATGCAGTATTGTGGAATGCCAACCCGTTGCTGCCGCAGCAGTGGGCAGCCGTGGTGCTGGTGTTCTCGGGCCTGCTGGTGTCGTCATGGACCAAGAGCAGGCGGCATGCAAAGCACGCGCCGGAGAAGAAGCACTGACCTTGGGACTAAAAATAAACACCGTCTGTCCATGCTTGGGTGCTGGCTCCTGCCACTCTACCTCCAGCACTGCTGTGAGTTTGGCTGGCTAGCCGCGGATTATGTGGCTGGACCGGTCTGTCCCATGGCACTCATGAGAGCAGCTGATGACGGCAGGCTGACATCTGTAGTTTGTCATGTCCACCCCGCGGGGGTCTCGCAGCAGGGTGGGCGCGCGCCCTTCAGCGGCCACCGGGACCGCCGAGGCGGCGGCTCTTTTGCGTGCACGAAGCTTTAAACGCAGCGTGTCGAGCTGGCGTGCACAGACCAGCGCTGACACTGGCATGGCGGTGCCGACCTGCATCCTTCTGGAAGCCATCGGGCGCCGGCGCCGGCGCTGAACACTGCTGCAGTGCTGCCGCCCCAGCGCAAGGTCCCCGCTCCCTCCTGAAGCTGAATTACTTGAAGCTGAACTACTAAGCTGTTGCCTGCAGTCTAAACTGGAGCGATCCATGCACCCAGGGGTGAAACGATGGGAGCCTGACATGCTTCACTCCATGCGCCACTGCCTGGAATGGAAGCATGCCGCACCGGGGGATTGGGAATGAAGGTGACGCCGCGCCGCCCTTGTTTCATCCTCCCCCTCGACTCTGAGCTGGGGCACCGGCGGGCTCATGATGCGGGCATAGGGCCGGACACTCGAAATAACAGGGACCGCCGGCCGGTTGGTGCGCTCGGGGGCGAATCCGCCAGGGTGGCGGTGGCGTGGCGGTGGCGGGCCGCCACTCATGTGGGCGGCATGCAGCAAATGGGCCTCAAAACACTGTTTGCATGGGGTCCAAGCTTTGCAGTGCCTTCTTAATGGGATATATCATGTGAATTGCGTGCGAGTGGCAACCACGGCTTGCAGGAGCACCAGCCGGGTGGTACGCTACCGTCTGTGCTCCGTTTGTGCTCCGAGAGCGGGAGGACGTGGCCTGGTGTGTCCCTGAGCAAAATAGTAGTGTACAACTGTGCAAAACATGCCGCACCGGTGCGGGGGACTTGGGTTGGGCGACAGTCCTCGGCGCCTACGCTATGCCTGCTACGCTGCCAGACACGCCAACCCGCGAATTATCCACTAATTATCGTTTTCTTCCTTTGCAAAAGAAAGGCTTGGAGGGGACCCGGTCTCTCGGTGCGGACACGCCCGCGGCCAGCGGGGGCAGTAATCAGCGAGGTGAGCCGCAATCGCGATCACGGACCAGAGCCTCCACCAGTGGGCCAAATATGCCGTGCACCTGGGGCCTCCGAGAAACTTTGGCGTGCCCATTCCGCTCCCTGGAATCCCCCAGCCTGCCGCTGCCTGCTCCAACCCCTGCCGCAGGACTTGCAGGTGACAGCAGGGGAGCAGCCGCCCCTCTCAGAGCAGACCCGCGCACACGGCGGCGGCGGCACCCTTCATGGGCGGCAGCGGGCTGGGGCCGGAGGCCCGCGAGGCCGGCACAGAGCTCAACAAGGACAGGCTGCCACCAGCTCTTTGTCAAAGGCCTCTGCATGTGTTTGTGGATTTGATGCCCATTCTGGTACCGGCCTCGCAGCAGCTGGGCTTCCACGGCCTCGGGCACCTGTTTGGCGGCAGCACCGAGATGGTGGCGCGGGCCGTGCACCACACCACATCCAGGGTGGAAGCGCTGAAGATACGCCTACAGGGCTTCTCCGAGGCAGAGGTGGCCCTGACGATGAGTAGGTGTGGGGATGGGGGTCCCAGGCTTGCCGCGGGGCTGGGTTCCAGCCGCACAGGCGCGGCTGCTGTTGCCGCTACCAGGCAGGAGACCACAAACGCTCCCCAAAACATGGCTGCAGGCAGTCATCGACGGGTGCGAGGATCCGTACAAGCTGGCTAGCCGGCCAGATGTGGGCCGCATGCGGCCGGAGTTCCAGCAAATGCTGCAGGCGATGGGGGCCCGCGACATGGAGGGGCTGAGCCATCTGTTGGCGGCTGCCACCCTCAGCGGGCAGCCCCTGGTGGTGGCGCTGCGGGGGGAGATGCAACGGCGCGGCATTGGCGACCTGCTGGTGGCCCCCGAGCCGGCAGACCCCACGGTGTGCGCGTTGGCGGCGCACTGCCAGGCAGGCGGGACCTGGCAGGCGATGGTGGCCAGCACGGACGGCGATTTTGCCTTCTATGCCCGGGCAGCGGGCGTGCCCTGGCTGCTGCTGGACCGCAGCGGCCACAGCACACACGTGATCATGCCTGGTGACTGGCCGCCGGCCGGCTACCCATCGCTGTCGCACATGTTGGTGTGCTGCGTTTCAGGCCAGTGTGACTACGTTGCATTGGTGGGTGCGGGCGCCGTTCTGGCGCGCCTCATGGCGCAGCTGCTGCCACAGCGGGTGGTTGACAGCATGCTGAGCGAGCGCAGCGTGGCGCCACTGGCCCAGTTCATGGAGGGGGAGGGGTGGCTGGTGGGCCGGCGTGCAGGGGACGTGGCGCAGCTGCTGGAGCGTGGCCTTGCTGGGTTCCTGTGCGGCGTCGCAGCCTGGCCTGCCTGCGGCGGCGCAGAGGGTGGAGCAGAGGGCAGCTATGCTGTTTTTGTCTGCTTTCTTTTGTTGCTTGCCTGCCTGGCCCCGGTTTCCTACCCCCATGCATTTTGCTTGTGCTTTCTACTCCTAGTTTTCATGTTGTCTGTACTACCTCTCTTCCCACCCATTCATCTTCCACCTTCACCCCGCATGCATAACAGTCTGTGACGGTTCAGTGATTGACCAAAGACAGACTACATATAATGTAATGCCAGCACAGTATGCAACTGGCCAGCTGCGCCAGTTTTGGGGAGAGGAGCGCATCGGCGGGCTGGCCACCATGCGCCTGTCGGGCCCAGTGCTGGAGCAGCGCCGGCTGACGGGGCACGAGGCCGGCACCGTGGTGGCGGGTGAGGCCAGCGCCTTGGTGGAGGCAGCCGCCGTTGGGGGGAGCCGGCAGGCACAACGTGCATGGATGCATGTGGCGCTTGCTTGCCAGGCTGACAGTCTGACCGCCCGCTGCTGCCGTTTGTGTCCTGGGGCGCCACAGGCACCGCCAACCCCGCCACCGGCCAGCCATACGATGCCTTCCCCGCTGACACCGAGCAGAAGCTGGCACGGGTGGCCACCCTGCTGGCCAGCGGCACCATGGCCGCTCGGGAGGAGGCCAGCAGCAGCGCGGCAGAGGAAGAGATGAGGCGGCTGATGGAGCACGGCGTGCTGGCACGGGTGCGCGTCACCCGCTCTGGTGGCGAGGAGGGCGCCCTGTGGCTGGCACAGGCCAGTACCCTGTTCCGCATCCTCACCACCTACATCGAGATGGGGGTTGGGCAGGAGCACGTGAGCATGTTGCTCCTGGGCTGTCGGCTGGGGCGGCGCTGGGGTGTGCCGACGTGTCGCTGCCGCCGCCGCTGCTGGCCTCCATACCCTGCTTCATTTGCCGTCGCCTCATTCTCCTGCGCCCGGCTGGCTGTTGCAGAGGCTCAGTATGCTGGTGGTTGACGGCAGCGAGCCACAGCACGTCTACGCCGCGCACATGCTGCGCCAGCCCGACAAGATCCAGCTCACCGGCATCACCCGCCCCATCAGGCTGCTGACTGCCGGCGCAGAGTACCTGCTGCTGCGCTGCACCAAGCAGGGGCTGATCGTGGTCTCCCCCGAGCCACCAGCGCAGCAGGAGGAGCAGGAGGAGCAGGGGGGGGAGCCGCAGCAGCCGCAGCCGCAGCTGGATGATGCGGTGGCTGGTTATTTGCAGCGGGCCGATGCTGCCTTGCAGCGGGCGCACGGCGATGCAGCGCCCGGCGCTCGCTCCGCTGACGTGGCCGTGCAGTCTTTGCTGCAGCAGGTGCCCAAGGCAGCTGCTGCGGCCAGGGCATCCCCACCCGGGCAGCAGCAGCGGCAGCGCCAGCAGCAGCCAGAGTTTGGGCTGCCCCCGCCTGAGGACGGCACGCCGGTGAGCAGGCTGAGCACCCCCGAGTGCCTGCATAGGGGTGCAGAGGTTGTGCAGGATGCCGTGGCCTCGGCAAGCCTCCTGCATGACAGGGTGGTTGGCCGCGGGGCAGCAGGCGGCGACACCCTGTGGGCCGGGGCGGAGGTCACTGCCGGCGTCGATCTGCGCGGCGACTATGCCGCCCTGCTGGCAGCTGCGCTGGCGGGGGGGTGCCACGCGCTGCAGTCGGTGTCGCTGGCTGCCAAACGTGAGTGGAGGAGCCTCTCTGCCGGGCGGGGGGGCTGGCAGGGTTGCGCGCATGCATGCATGCGTGCCAGTGCCGCCCCGCCAGCGTCCCACTCCTGCCTCTCTCCCTTGCTTCCTCCTCCTGCTGAAACCTCAAGGCCCCGCCCTTCCTGCCTCCTGCTGCCCTTGCAGTCATGAAGCTCAAGTTCTGTCGAATTCTGGCGGCGGGTGGGCTGGGCGAGCCGTACAGTGCTGCCCTTCCCAAGGGCACCCTCCCCTTTGAATTCAGCCAGTACAGCGGCGTGCGGGCGGCAGTAGTTCTGATGAAAAAACAGTTGTACTTGCGGTGGGAGTACAGCATTGGCAAGACGTCGTCGCTCACTCGGACCGGCCTTGACGCCAAGGCGGGGCTTGAGCAGGATGTGGAGCGGCGGGGGGCACTGCTGCTGCCTGCCGACGTCGTGCTGGAAACCATCAAGTGGTGCGCGGCTTTGCGGCTAGGAGTCAGCGCAGTCGAGCGGGGGCCGGCGCGGCGGGTGGTGGAGAGCTGCAAACAAGACTTTGACAAGCGGCTGGCGGCAGCGGCGCAGCGGCTGCCGGCGGTGCGGCCCTTTGTGGAGGCCGCCCTGGCCTCCCTGGAGCGGCTGCTCACGCCAGAATTCCTGGCGAGGCAGATGCACCGTGGGCGGCTGCGCAAGCTACAGTCGGCGGGGCCCAGCCCGCGGGCACCTCGGCAGCGGCAGCGGGGGCGGCAGCAGCAGGGCCAGCAGCAGGGCCAGCAGCAGCGGGAGGAGGGCGAGGAGGGCAAGGAGGAGGAGCAGGCGGTGCAGCTGGAGGACCTGGGCATGCCCCTGGTCGTGGCCAGCCGCGCGGCCATCCAGCGTTCTGCGGTTCGTGCCGGGCTGCGCGGCGCCGAGGTGGGTGGGCGGGGACTGCGGTTGTGGCTGCGGCCGAACGCGCACG